AGCCCCAGCAGTGGATTCGGTGCCAAGGTTCCTTTCTCTCCTGGCAATCTACTCAGTTTCCTGCTGTCCCAAAAGGAAACAAAAGACTCCCAGTTTTCTGAAAACCAGATTTGCTGCATGACAGTGCATTGAATTGCCACTGAACGGGTCACAGTGGATGCTCTTCTAGGAAACAAATCAGGGAACTAAAAGGATACAAATAATTATAAATGAACTCGGTAAAAATGTTTCTAACATTTTTTCCCAATGGTTTATTAACTAGAATCCTACTTTCCTTCCACAAAAAAATATATTCATTTTTTTTATAAATACTTTTTAAATACAGACAATCCTGATTCTATGCAAAAAAAAAAGGTCAATGTCACATTCAAACAGGTTTTCTCAGTGTAGCAATAAGGAACAAGCAGACATCACAGTAGGCATGAACACAGGGATCCTAGGGAGGCAGGTAACTACAGCTTATGAACAGATACACAAACACAATCCCACCTGCTTAGTCAGACTGCCCTGTGACTTAGAAAAGAGCTGAGCTGCAAGTTGAGGCCTAGAGTGTCGGGCTGGCCAGAAACATTCCCACGTTTAGCACAGATGAACTGTCAGTGAGACTGAACATCTGATGAACATCGAGACGTCGGCACAGACGCAGGTAGCGCCTGTGCTGGGGGTACAGGAAAGAACTGCTAACAGAAAGCACCAGCTACCTCCAATCCAAGAGGAAAAGCATTTACACTTACCATGGCCTTACAGCTCTTAGTTCCAATTAGCTGAAATTAACTCTTTCCCTTTCCCTGTCCCCCTCCCCCATTTTTCCCCAACGAGGACGTTTCCCACTCCAGTCGGTGCCAAAAACCTGCCCAGCTTTTCTGCATCACACACAGTTCAAGTTGCTCTTCCTGCCACTTCCCCCCAGCAAGGGACAGCAATAACCTCCACAGTTTCATTCCTAATCAGATCTAATTAAAACTGAGCTGCCAACCATATTTTTTCAGGTTATGAATAACTAATGGAGCAATTTTATAACACATATGAAGTACAAGAGTTGGTTATTAGCATGTTCTTACATTAAGTAGCCCCAAGATAATCTCTGCATGAGTAGGAGTTCCCTTTAAGTTTTGTCACAAAGATGAGAATTTCACTTTTATAGGCCACCATGTAGCACTGTTTCCCAATATATTGTAACAGCCTGTTTGCTCCAAAAAGGGAGAATCAGGAACTTGGTAGCTGGCAGTGTTTCACTCTGACACACAGTACAAGATCTTGAACTGAAACTGCAACGGAGGACAGAGGTGGCAAAGCCCTGCCTTGCTGACCAGCTCCAGAGCAAGATGTAGAGAGAGATTATGAGGAACAACCAAACCCCAGCACATCACTTTCAAACCTGCAGAGACTTTCTACACTAAACAAAGCAAAAAATTTCCTCTGAGTCAGTGAGAGTGGATTATTCTGTTATTCCTTAAATGTCACCAGCTCAAGGACACATTCACAGAAAGAATTTTGGCCTCCAAGATCTCATCTGAGAATGAAATCTCTCAAATTTAAACCATGCTTACACTTGATGTGTTAATCTTGAAAAAATAAATAAATAAAGTGTTCTCTTTCTGCCACTAAGTCTGTGAATGATTGACCTGTGCAGCCTGGCAGGCAACCACAAATGTGTTACTGTTGCTTTTCTTTAAGAAGGTGACCTTTAGAGGAACCCAAGACTGAGAAAGTGAAAGAACGTGTTATCATTTCCTTGCCTCTCAGGAAAATGATGCCACTATTAGCACTCACAGAGACTTAGTTTCTTCTTTCAAGATTAATTCATTCTGTAAAGGACACATGTAATCACATTTTATTACAGCTAGTCAGTATGAGTAGATAATTTGGGTTAGCTGTTGGATGTTTTCTTTCAGAAAGTCAGACCCCTGCTTCCCAGACTGGCTTGTTAAAATAGAGCTGTGGTGCTAATCAAAGTAATTTTTTTTAATGACACCAAAGAGAAAAAAAGACAAGAATTCTTTTTCCAGAGCCAATATTTAGTGATTTTGTAGATGAACTTTTGTGGTAGTAAACCTAGTGATGATTCAGTATTAAAACACAAACTAACAACTAGTCAGGCAGACTGTGAACACTGCTAGTAAGGTTTGATTTTTCAGCTGTTTTATAAGAATCAGCTGAATTTAAGGGGGGAAAAAAAGTGTGTTTCCTTTGACAACTGACCTGAGAGTTCTCAGCTCCCTTTCAGATGAAAGTGAAGTTGTTCAGTGCCATCACACACGTGGTCTTTAACACTAAATTTTAGTTTTAATGCAAAGCAGGGACAGAAGTGGCATTACAACAGCAACTGCACTGCAAAAGGGTTGGAAGAAACACTCTGTCAGTGCTGTTTGTGTGCCACAACATGAAGCCTGGTGTCAGCACAACACATACTGCTGCATGAACAGACAGCAAAGGATGGCACCTCGCCCTTGGACAGTGGGATTCCCACATGGTTGTAAACATTGGGAATGCAGGTGACCTTAAAAAAAATGCAAACAACCTGTTTCCAAGTGAAACTGAGAGATAACAGTGACCATTGTTGCCGTGGGATACAGGAAAAAGCACCTTATAGTTATACTTCCCACAGAAAGTTTTGCTATTTGCCTTAGTTTAAGACTCAAAACTTGTTACTTGTAGCAAATTGTTGGGACTTTTAAGTAAAATTCAGGAAACTGAAAAGCTGAAGCTAAATGAGGTTGACATTTATTCTACAGAAAATGCCCAATATTTGCTCCTGGGTTAAGGACTGACAAGAGTCTGCACCAAAGTACAACAGCTCTGACCAAAAAATACATCAAGGTGTGTATTTCTGTTTGAAACATACGTCTCTGTGAAACCTGTGACTGGCAGTTCTGGCCAAGCACCATTGCTAGAAGTCTTTTAAAAATCTTATGCACAAAAGTTATTACTATGAACAGCAGGTGAGAGCTGAAAGACACCCCAAAAAACCTGCCCAGGATGCACACACTCTGCCTTCAAATCAATATCTTTCCCTCCTTCTACAGTTGGAACAGATACTTGAAATGTTCAAAATGCCATTTAATATACAGACAGTTTAACAGCCCTGATGCAAAAAAAGTAAAGGGGGGTGGGGAGAAAGGCTTTTTGAAACTATTTTCACCTTTAGTAATTATTGTGCTGTAAAGCTCAATAGCTCCAAGTATTGAACAATGAGGAAACTCTTTGCAACTCCCAAACAGGTAAGTCAGCTGTTTGCTAATGTTATGATTGAACACACTAGAGACAAAACCAGTGATAAATACAAGTCTCGTTGTGATAATAATTCCTACAAGATACTAGTTGTGTAAAATCAGTGAAGTTTACGTACCTCCTTAGCTATCAAGCTTCACTAACCATTCTGTGCTGTCACCTAAACTCACCACGTTGCCTTCAGAAAAACCAAATCCTCTTTCAGAAGCCAAGAGAGCCAAGCCCAACACAAATGGTAACATGAAAAGATTGACCACGACCCCAACACGAGCATAAACACCTCCCTGCCCTTAGGCAGGTGGCTCCATTTGGAACCATTTGTAGTTCTGTTTGACTTGGGCTGTGACTAGAGAGGTGCTAATCACCACTAGAAATGGGATGATGACAGTCACACCTATCTGAGGCTAACATAGAATGTTCCACTTCAACTCACAGAATTAGACATGGAGACATCGAGTATTTATAGAGATATCTACAAACTGCAACTGCCTTTTGTTTTATAAGTATCAGTGAACTGACCTTCAGAGTAAGGGTTTCATGACAACAGGCTCCTCAGGTTTGGTTTTGCACACATGAATTTACTCTTCTGACCTTGCTTCTTCTTTGCACTTCTGCCCTTCTAAGAAGCCCACGCTGGCAGAGTTGGGCAAAATTGGTCTTAAGAGAGTCAAAAGGGAGAGTTTTTGCTAAACTTTTGCTGTGCCTCTAGTCCTACACTAGTAGACTCACTGTTTCACCTGCATTAAGATCAGAGGCAAAACATTTTTAACAAAAGGAAAACACTCTCCTAACATATTCAAATTAATATTAAAAAGGAAAACTGGGAATTCCTTACTCTCCAACTGCCCTGGGCAAATGCAAGGGTTGCTCTAACAAACAGTGCTGAAGCCCTTATGCTGGTTCTGAGCAGAGATAAAAGGAAATAGACACAGAAAACATACAGCATGAATAGGCTGAGCATTAGCTACAGAAAAATGTGAAATAAAGCTAAAATCCTTCACGTTGTCCTGATTATTCTACAATCAGTCCACAAAAAGCTGAAATTAATGGAAAATTATGGAGGTTCATAGACCCTCGATGCTATTCTGCCTTCATCTGAAATGTAAAAGGATGGTGCCCAGGGAAAAGCAGCCCTGTCACTGAACTACTGGTCTTCATGGGGAGCTTCTGTTTCTCCAAGATTAAACAGGATGTTACACAGAAGGAACTGAACCCGAGGATGAGATACTTATTTAGAGAACAAATCTAAAGATGCAACTTGCTTTTTTTGCAAGGTGGGTTGCCCAACATTTTCAACTGGGTGCACAAGTGAAGGTGCCCTTTGCAGCACCCGCCAAGGGAACCAAAGCAAGAGGAGTCTGCGTTTGCATCCGTCCACGGGCGTGGCCTCCCAGCTGACACCCTCTGGGACAGCAATCACACCCCAAAACATCACTGAGGGCAAGAACACAGATCCACAGAATTAGGGCAAAATCCCCCAGGTCCCACAAGGCCATTTTCAAAGCAGCCACTCAGAGAACTTAGGGAAGTGGTATCCAGAGATCATCTAACATTGCGGAACCGCTTAAAGTTCTGCAGAACAGGACCTGCTTCAGAGCTCAAAAAAAAAAGGACGAGACTGGGCAATTTGGTCATGAAACTCCTACTGTGGCAACGAGTCCTTGGTGTGTGGATCCTTGTCCAGTTGACATAGCAGGCAACTGGCTGGAAGGTGCTGGAATCCCTGACGGTGTGGCTGGGAGCGGGGAGGCTGCCTGTCCTGCCCGTGCTCAAGGTCCTCCACTGTAGGAATAATCTGCCTTGTTGTGCATCACGAGCTTGTTGTCTACAAAGTAGAAACTGTCCGACTGTGTCTCGTAGGGGTGAAGGATCATCTCACGGACTGCAGGGAGGAAAAAAGAAAAGAAGGAGGAAAAAAAAAGAGGAATGTATCACACTGCTCAGAGGCCCTGCTGAGGCAACACCCTGCCCAGGGCTTCAGTTCTGCCTGACACTGATCAGATGCAGCGAACCCCAGTGGAAAGCCAAAAGCAAAACAGAAACCTACCCAGAGACAGTATCTCTTAAAGAGCTCAAAACCAACCCAATATGATCAGGCACCACACAGAGGGTACGTGTTCTACCCAACCTCACATCAAAACCACTCTCGAGTTTGGGGCTTTTTTTGGTGTCCCTGCCCAGGCAGGCAGGTTGGAACTAGATGATCTTGAAGGTCCCTACCAACCCAAACCAGGCTGTGATTCTAGGATGGTAAAGCAGCAAACTGAAAAGAAATTTGTTCTGCTGTGGCAAGAAGTAAGCAGCACTGCACAGCTGTGCAGTTCCCACTGGCTGCAACATCCGTGCTGTCATACACAATTAGGGGTTGTAAAGGATCCATAAATACATCATTGTAAAGAATATAAGGCCACACATGCTCCTGTTTCTTGGGAGAGAGGAGAGGAAATAAGTTACATTTGTAGTAAAACTTAAACCTCTCAAGCTACCAATATAGCACATCAAAGAGAACATAGCACTGAAGTCACCCCATTTATTGGGCTGACTAATTTTTTAGTTGGTTTATAACACAATTCTCTTTTTTCCCTCCCTGGCAATGAAGCTCCCCTTTTATGAATTAAAAAAAAAGAAGTGCCTGGTGGGTGACAAGACACATGGGACTAGAGAACAAAATCTGTGTTAACAGATGCAAAACAACCTGGAATTGTTCTACCCTGCCCATTTTCTACAGACACCTTCACCCAGGCTGAAGATCACTGTGTGGTAGCCCCATAATTAAAGAGCACTCACTGAGATCCTCAGAGAGCTGTGGGAATTCATAGATGTGCTCACAAGTGTTTTTACTGCTGGGGATGCAGAACCCAAACTCAAAATCAAAACTCTTCAGGAGCTGGTCACGGAAGTAGTGCCTCTCAATCATGCGGAAGTTGTTGATGGGTTTGTCCCCTACTGTGAATTCCACCCTGAAAAAGAAGGATAAGATTAAAAAAAAAAATGAGCTTTCCCCCTGAAGTGAGATTGCCAACCATTCCTGAAAGGTAGAAGAGAGCTCTTTTGAAAAGGAAAAGGCCAAAGGCTAAAGCAGTGGTACTAACCAAGTTATCATTTCCTTTTCCTTAACACGTGCTGCAGGGACACACCATGGCAGCAAAAACCCTAGATCATACTTCATTTTCATTCTTTTCACTCAGAAAACAAGGGACATGCAGTACAGTTTTACAATCTTAAACCCACCTTCAGTGAAGAAAAGATCCCCCCAGCTATCACAGATAGAGATTTCACCAGATCTCTCACTGGATGTTCCTTATGGCGATGGATTTTTATACAAGTTATTTTAATTCTTCTGGTGGGTACTAAAAAAAAAAAAAGGCAGATCTACCAAAAATGGCCTTTCTGCTGTTCCTGCTTTGTAAGTAGTAAAGGGGACAAGTTTCAGCCAGCATTATGTTTTTCTCTTACCAAGAAGCACAACCTCTTGGAGAAAGGTGTTAGTTACACACGTGTGCTCTGAGGTGGCCAGGAAGGCCCTGGTACTAGTTTAGCACAAGTCAAAAGTTGGGTATTTACCATTTTATCCAAAGAGGTGCTAATTGACACAGAATTTCAATTTGTCTTCCAAAACAAGTTACACATAGTCACATCTTTGAGATGAGCAGGCAGGGGCAACGTGCAGCCTGGCTCCAGTTATATCCTCTGACAATACATTTCCATTCTTTTGCACTGGAACCAAATGCTGAATTTTAATCCAGCTCTCACTAATACTTTATACTGTTGTTCTGTGGTTTTTTAAGCAAGGCAGATGTTGTGAAATACACACTTGCTGCTGAAAGGATCTATCATCCAAACTAACAATTCCATAAACCAGTTTGTGCTGGAAGCTGTGACTGATGCTCAACTGTAGCATTATGGCCTTAATGACATAACAGCAATGGGCATAAAGCTCTTGATTAGATCTACTCACTTAAACTAAGTGAATGTAAAGAAAGTCAAAGATAATGAAGAACCTGCCCTGTGATGTCCCAATATCCTTCTAAAATCAACAGTGAAGACAAAGCAGCCCACCAGCCTGCTCTCTGGAGGGCCTGGAGAGCAAACACAAGCCGAGAGTTGCATCTCCACATGCATGCTCTTTAACTGCAGATAAAGCTGGAGTTAGTAGTGAGTTAGTAGTAATAGTAGCAATCAGCACTAACTTTTAATAAAGAAACAAAACACTCTGTCACCTGTCTTACAGTAGCAAGGCCTAAAGCTTTACAGAAAGATACTCCAGGTGTCACATTCAGGTGTGGTTTAGTGATGGACACAAGCAGTCCTATCAGACATGGCAAAGCTCAGTCTGGCACACGGAGCACCCAACATCACCCTTCCACCTCCATCTGTGGCTTAATGCTGGGGGATGCACTGTGGGAGGCTGCAGACACACCTTCTGCAGCTGGCAGAGCCTCTGACAACAAACTGCAACACACACAAGAGAGCTGGAATCCCTGGGCAGCCCATCCACCTTATTTTACCCCTTTCAGCATCAATGTCCTCGATGCCTGTTCCTCAGGTGAATAAATGAGCCGGAGGGATGGAGGAATCAGGCACCCAGCACCATCCTCATCATAACAAAAGATCCCTATTAAATCAATTTCCTGGCAGCATCAACGAGCAAGAGCCACATTTTGTAAGATTTCAGTTGTTCCTTGTGCTAAAAAAGAAGGCAGCAGAGGAGCAGGGACTCACGTGGCTCCCACTTGCCGCAGCCTCAGGAAAGCTGGAGTGAACTGGTAGCGCACGAACCGCCCGGCGTTGGGGTCGGTGTCCTTCTTGTCATTGTGGTCACGTTCTGGAAGAGGGCAAAGCAAAGCTCCATCACAGTGGTCTGAGCAAGAGAAACCCCGTGAGAACACTGGCAATCATGGGTTATTGAGCCACACAAGCCAGGAAACCCTTCTGAGGGTGTCTGGTGATGCCCTTTCACTCCTCCCACCCACTGCTGGTCTCTCAGAGATGAGAGTATTGCAGGGAGGCCCTTGGGTTTGATCCATATCCTCTGAAGTGACTTCCTGCTCCCACCCCTGGGTCAGGGTCACCGTGTGGCTCTGAACAAGGTGCTTCAAGTCTGGTCTGCTATCTCTAAGCTACAGAAAACTTCCTCTCACCTGCAGAGAGATGGGGGAGATTTAAAAGGCTGCTTGGAAAAGAACAGTTGCCCTGAGTTTGTGTTATCACTGGCACAAGTAATGCTTTGGTGGTGACAAGTAATAGCTAAAAAAATGGGCAAAAAAAGGCATATTTTCAGTTTACCCAATTTGCACATTTGACAGAATGCTTCCCTTGGGAATTCCCTTTACCTGACTGCTGGGTGAAAGCTGTTGGACTAACAGTTGCACTATGTGTAGGGGGACTCTAGCTGATGAGCAGCCAAGAAACTAACCCACGGTGACCTCCTCCTCTGTTCCTGCTTACAACCTCCATCTGTCCCTCCCCACCACAGATGGCAATCACAAGAAAATAGCAGCAATGGGTTCTGTTCACTGTGCTGGCACAGAGGGACACCTGAGGAGCATTTCTGCTACGAGCTGGGACCCAGCCCTCCTGCAGTCAAGAGCATCTCCTATTTTTGGGAAATGTATTGAGTAAAAGGAGTGGGAAAAGGCAAAAGGAAGCAGACACCAGTGGGTGTCTGTTCATGAAAACAGCATTTTGTGTCTGTGCTCACCTGAAGCTGCTGGTTTGGTGATTTCAAACAAGACTGTGCCAGATTCCATGTCCCGGATTTTGAACCTGGTGAAGTCTATCTTGTACACGTTCTCCTCTGGAGTGCACAGATAATCTGCAGAGGAAAGGAAATGTCAGTGAAGGCTGCCCAGAATTAGCAGGTACTGCTAATACCAGCAGTGGGAGCAGCCCAGATGCTTTTACATGACTACTCTGCTTTTAATCCAAAACTGAGCTCTATGAGGGCAGTTCCAGCTCTGAACACTCACACCACCCTGCTTGGACAGGCCAGGAAAAAGGCTCCTCTCCACTTGCACTTGGAGGTCATCACCTTTTTCCAACCCTGTGCCAGCATCTTCTGCATCCATTTCAACCCCAGGGTATTGAGAATAGTCAGCACCTCCATCAAATCCCAGCCTTTTTGGTCTAAGAGGCTTTGCCTGTTTTAAAAACTGTCCTCTGGCAGAATAAAAGTGCTAAGCAGCTTTGTGAGGACTAAGCTGACTGCACTTAGCTGGACCAGGAGTGTCCCTTGGGCCACCTCCCCTGTCTCCAGCCTTTTGCAGTCCAAGGAGGGTCTCTCCACCCATGCAAGGACTTCTTTTTCCTCGGCACTGAAAATGGGGTTGAAACTTTTCCCTTTAGGAAACTAATCTGAGCCCAGAGCCCTTCCCTGCTTCCCCCAGAGCTGGTATCTTTGGGAGAAAGTCACTGTTCCTGCCTCAGCCTTGCTGTGCCCTGAGACAGCTCCCTGGCCTGGCTGGCAGCTCCTCCCTGGGGAAGGAGCAGTGCTACTTTGGTTTCCCTGCACACGTAGGCACAGACTGAAAGCAGCTCCAATAACCTACTTTCCCTGACAGATCTAAATAAATGTATCGTAGGAGTCTTGTTTTGGAGGTTCTAAGGGTTTTTTTTTTCCTGCTGTTAGGCTGTGTTAACCACCCATTTCTGTCTGCTTTCCTGTTTCTGAGATTCAAACACAACCTCCCACCTACAGCTTTTTCATTGCCCACATGAAAACAAGTCCCAGTGCACTGAGAGGTCCCAGCTGCCTGGGACAACCCCTCCTCAGCATCACAAACCAGGCACCTCCACCATGGCTGGGGATTGTGGCTCCTGGGCTGTGCTCAGCACATCCCACAGACAAGGAGTGAGTAGAAGATTCCTGTGGTGTCCTAAGAGAACACCCCAAACACCCCACACTGCAGCTCCCAGACAGCACAGCACTGGGATCTGCAGTCACAGGCCCCTCTGCACTGGGCTGGCTGGAAGCTCCCAGGAGCTGCTGGGCAGGAGCTGCACACCCAGCACCCCCACCTTCCTAGAAGCCTTTTCTTCCTTGCAAATCTCAAGCTGGAGAACAAAGTGCTCACTGGCACAAGGCACAGAGGTGTTCCATGGGCTCCCTGGACAGTTTTGCTGCTCTGGCACCAGCAGCAGCCAGGGAATGCTCAAAGGGCTGGGCTGTAAGAGAGGGGCCAGTGCCTGAGGCATCTCTGGCACAGGGCAGGGAGATTTGCCTTCCCTCTCACTAACACCAGGACCTAAACTGTCAGGAAAAACAAGATAAAAACCCAACCTTCCCACTACCAGCAGGAAACACCAGCCTGGTGCGGGACAACCCCGCCTCACAGCTACACCAAACCTCCTGCTGTGCCTTTCGAAGCCGC